TAAAGATTATCTCTTTGGATTTGAGACTTTAGTCTTTGCAACTTTACAGATCTTCTTTATGCATCAAGAGATTGTAACACTCCAAAGAGAAAGGAAAAATTGAAATAGCATCATATGACCCCTTTAAACTAGAACACTAGGATTTAAACACCAACACCAAGTCTTATCTAACCGTGTACATAAACAAAAGCTCACACGACCCACTACCAGGTGTATCAGAACAAAGTTCATGGCACACACATGCAGCTTTCAGAAGAAACATTTCTCAGAAGCAGATACACGATTTATTATTCAGAAAAGCCTAGATCTTTTGCTTTGAAGAGCAAGCCCACCTGTCTCCACTTCGTCCATGGTGAAAGCCAATCCGGCGATCCAAAGCGCAAAGTTGTAGTATTTCCTCAGCAACCAGCACGGATCAGCTCCAGGCATGACGAAGCAGATATCATCCTCTTTTGGAAGACCAAACAATGTAGTTTCACTTCCACGACGAATCACACAGTGCCTTCACAACATGGTGGCGGCAACAATAATACTACAGCGAGAATAAAAGTTACGCCTTCTTTCTTTGCGTGAACATTTGGGCGGTGTTATGCAAATCTTCCCACATAGTGATGTAGATATGTGGGGGCGTGTTAGAATGAGCCATTTTAGGTAGGCATGGCTGACTCTTAACTTTTATAAAGAATATCTCTTTGGATTTGAGACTTTAGTCTTTGCAACTTTACAGATCTTCTTTATGCACCAAGAGATTGTAACACTCCAAAGAGAAAGGAAAAATTGAAATCGCATCATATGACCCCTTTAAACTAGAACACTAGGATTTAAACACCAACACCAAATCTTATCTAACCGTGTACATAAACAAAAGCTCACACGACCCACTACCAGGTGTATCAGAACAAAGTTCATGGCACACACATGCAGCTTTCAGAAGAAACATTTCTCAGAAGCAGATACACGATTTATTAGTCTGTTTTGCAGGAACACCATCTTTCTCAGAAAAGCCTAGATCTTTTGCTTTGAAGAG